CCAAAGGGGCAGAGAGAGAGGGAGACACAGAATCGGAAACAGGCTCCAGGCTCCGAGCCATCAGCCCAGAGCCTGACGCGGGGCTCGAACTCACGGACCGCAAGATCGTGACCTGGCTGAAGTCGGACGCTTAACCGACTGCGCCACCCAGGCGCCCCTAACTTGTTTCATTTCTTTACGTTGCTTCTCCCCCTTTGGGCTTGCCTTTCCATCAGGCGGCAGGTACAAATGACTAATGAACTAATGACAACACGAATAACGGCCAGCCTAATGATCATACTGCTAATGGTGACAATGCTAATTAAGAGAGTGTGAATGGCAACAGCTTCTTCTGCAGGATGTGACTATTCATCTCCGGAGGGCAACAAGAAGACGGCGGACACAGACGAGATCCAGGGAAGTGCAAACAGCACTGAAGGCACGGATGGAGACTCGTTTTTTTTTTTTTTTTTTTTTGTCTTGGGTGATTTTTTTTTTTGCACTAACTATATTATAAGAGGTCTAAAAAGCATCATATTGTGGGTCCACAGAATCTAAGGTCAGACATGATGGATCAAAAGGATGAGAAAAAAGAACATGTCAGTCTATCAAGTTGGGGAGAGCTCAATCACCACGTGTGGACACAGCTGTCCAGGAGCTCCAGAAGTACCCTTCACTTGGGGGCTCTGGAGCTAATTCCTGATGAGATTGACGTGTCCCTCTGCCTGTCACCCACAAGCAGCAAGCCCACTAGGCAACCTGGACAAATCATTGGCATGAAATGACAGCAGTTAGAAACAGGCAGTGGAGAATAGCAATGCTGTGCCATGGGCCTCCTGCAGAGGCTCTCCAGTCTGCATTAGAGAGATGGGCAGGGTGGGAGCCCCTGGCCGTCTGACTAGACAACAGAGGGGCCTCAAAAAGGGTGTGAAAGAAGGTTCAAAGGAGTGTTCCTTAGCCCTTCAAACCAGCCCACCACCTCCAGTAGAGCCTGTGGCCCCCACAGTGAGGCAGCTGGTTAGCATCACCAAGCTCCTCAATATTGCAAGCAGACTGCCGTCAATGGGCTTCTCGAAGGTGCTTTTCCTAGAAGATGTTTAAAGTGTGTTTGGGCAGAGCTCAGGATCGTGCTGTTCCTGAACAAAATTCCTAGGAGGGAACTAGGACAGCGAAGCTGGCAGACCCTTGGGAGCTGTGGCACTGTCCCAACTGCCAGAGAGCCTCGCACTTGGCTGACTCCTTGGGTGTCTTCCCAAGGCTTTCCAAAACAGATACCAGACCCCATGACACTCCCTGGAGTGGAACAGTCTCCAAAGATAAAATGCAGGCATGCAAAGCCCCTTGTGACGCCAAAAGCAAGCTAAGTCAACATGTAAATAAACTGCTTGATGGCTATAGCAAAACTGTCCTATGCTGTGATGACAGCAAATGGTTTTAGCAGAAAAAAAAACTATCATTTCCCCTCTCTGTCTCTCTCTCTCCCTTCCCCCACTCTTATTTACTCTATTGCCATGGAGTCAAAGCCATATCTTAAATTGTTTTAGGTCATTCCAGTTCAGATCGTGACATTCAAAATGAGTTTGACACGTTCAGATTTGTAGCCTGCACCTTCAGGCTAGTTAATTACTTATGTGGATCTGGGTGCACTCTACTCCATCAACATGGAGACCAAATAATGGTGCCTGACACTTTCCAGTTCAAGTTGGGCCAGCCTCCTGGCATGAGACCCAACGTTACTGCTGCCCGAGACCACTGGCCCCTGTGTTGGTGGTGCTCCAGCAAGACAGGCCCGTGCCTCGCCTCCGTGCTGTCCCCTCCAACCCCATGCCACCTTCTGCTGTCAGTCTTACCTGCCCAGCAAAGAGCCCGCAGACACCAATGATGCACAGGATATTGAACACTGCAGAGCCCACGATGGTCCCAACTCCCACGTCACCCTTGGTGATGAAGACCCCTGAAAGAGACCTGATGTCAGCCTGGCTGTTGTGGCTGGTTCAATTCTGATGTGGGTGTGGGAGAGTTTTCAGAAGTGCTAGACTGTTCTCAGGGTCCACAGAAAATAGCCAAGGAGGGGGGGAGAGAGTTTTAAAATCTGCATTAGGGACTCTTCCACAGGCCCATTGCCACAGGATCTGGGACACCTTCATGCAAAGTGAAAGCATCACTTCAAAAAAATAATAGCAAACACAGTGGGTGGGAAGGGGGTGTTCTGCTCCTTGGGGTCTTGAGATTCTTATCTCTTATTAGCAAACCCACTGGAAGGCTGTCTGTCCCCACAGCCCTTGTCCTTAAGAGAAGGCAGGGCTGAGATGTCCCTGGGTCATCACCTACCTATGACGGATGTGAACAGCTCTGGGGCCGAACTCCCTGCTGCCATGAACGTGGCTCCAGCTACATCTTCACTGAGGTGCAGACGCTACAGAGGAACAAGGACAAAGCATAGATGAGTCGGGATTCCCCTGGGAACAGAGGCCACCGATGACTCCCAAGGTCTCAAGCTCAGGTCCTCCCATCCATCCTGAGCTTGGTCTTTCCTGCACATCCCCCGCTGGGCCACACCTGGCTGTCCTCCTCAAGGGGACAGGATGAGGGAGGGGGCTGCATGTTTCTGTGAGTTAAAGGCTCTTGACAAGATCTAAGAATTTCTAACCTAGAAGCCCCCAGTTCTGTGCAAGTAACAGGGGGTATAGGGTGGGCTGATGTGAGGTATGGTGGGCATCTGCCTCCTTTCTAAAGGGTATGCCACCCACCTCCCACCATGTTGCCAAGTATCCTTATTGCTTAAGAGATGGCCAAATCCACATTTTTATGCAAAAAATTGATTTGTTTCAATACCATGCCTCTCTCGGGCTAAAATGAGGCTCATGGCAATCAGCTTGCCAGTCTTGATTCTAGAAGGATACAGCAGCTTTGGGGGTGGAGGGGTCACCCTCCTGAAACCCATCCTTCATCATTAATGCAGTCTTGAAGCCCTGAGGTAGGGAGAATGCGGGGTGGCATTGAGGCTGGGTGGGAAGAATGATACCCTGCCAAGATGTCCTATACAATCACTGTCTGTTAATCCAAAAAGTGATTTGCAAGAAGACAAGAAAAATATATATTAGAGGCTGGTTTAGCCTTTCTGCATTCCATCATGACCCAGAATGTTAGCGGCTGGCTGTCAGTAAATAGCCAGTTCTCTCTTGGGTCCCAGCTAGGAGATGCTAGTCAGTCCCTCTTCGCACCGGCATGGACAGATGCACTTCCCTGCTCAGCCATGGAGGGGCAGCATGGGCTCGGCCTAGGCCACTGGCTTCACTGGCCAGCAACAGGCTGCAGTAGGGGCCCTAATGGAGCACTGTGATCTGGAATCCTGGGGATCCCTCGCTCAGGACTGAACAGCTCCGCCGCACATGGGGTTCTGAGAAGAGTATAAGATGGAGGTACTGATACCTCAAGCTGAAAGGTGTGGCTGTGAGGGGTGCAGGTGAGTCCCCAAGGCAGGGAGTTCCAGAAGGTAACCTAACACAGAGCTCACGCCATGTAGTGGTCTGCCAAGACTTGCCATGAGCCTGAGCCTGGTACTGCTGTGTCCATTCCAGCTCAGAGCCCCTGCTGGGGCATTAACTGTGGAGTCCACACCTTGAGCTCACCTCCGGTTCCTGTCTCTCTCTCTCTCTCTCATCCACTGAGTTTGCGTCTTCCTCCAGGTCTCCTTCCATCTCCCCCTCTTTTATCCCTAATTCACCTGGGCCCTGGCAACATCTCTCTGGATGCTTAGAATCATCAGCTAGGGGTGCGAGATCTTCTGCCTCTGGATGCCTCTATCCATCAAAAGCCTTCCCAGCTCCCTCCTGAGCCCTGGTAACTATTGATGCCCCAGCCTCACATTCCTCAGGATTCCCCATGTGCCGATTCCAGCCCTGGGCTCTCCTCTCTTGGTCCTGGGGCTCAGACTCTTTGCACAAATCCTTCCTTGAAAGGTGTTGCCTCCAAATGTGAAAAATCCCTCCAAGGGCTGCTCCAGTACTGCTCCCTGCACAAGCCCTTTCCTGACCCCCATGGCCCAATCAAGCTCCCCCTCCCCTTTCCTCTCTCTGTACTTTCCAACTTCCCAGCACTTCCTCCAGCACTCCCGGTTTGTATCACCCTGGAGCTGCTCTGCACCCCACAGCCCGTGGATGGCAAGGACCATGCTGTATTTCATCTCATTTCCTTCCCCAGGGGGTGTGCTTGCCAGTGCTATGGATTTCATCTCTCCTGAGTAGAAAACATTCTGACAAGAATATGTACATTTCTAGAACAGGCTCTTAAATCTGCTATAAAAAAAAAAAAGTCATGTGGGAAAGAGACTACTCTTCTGTGCATAATGAATAGAGCACCAAGCGGTGGTATTTCAGAGATCACAAATGACCCCAGTTACAGGTGCGCTTCCTCTCCTGCTACATAAGGTGACCTGTATTCCGGTTACATCACTTTGGACAAAGGACTTCCACACATGCCCTCTGTCCATCTAAGATGCAACCTTATCATTTCCTTCTACTTCCACCGAATAAAGGAACCACTCCCAGGGCCCCTCCAGGGTTCCTGTGGAAAGATTCTCTTTTATTTATTTATTTATTTATTTATTTATTTATTTATTTAATTTATTTATTTATTTTTTCAGTACAAAAACCAAAGAGACTTCCAGGATGTAGAAGAAGCTACTTAAGTTATTGGTCTCAAAGTGTGGTTTCTGGACCAACAGCCTCAGCATCCACCTGGGAACTTAACAGAAACGCAACTTGTGTCCTCTGCTGCCCCCCCCCCCCCCCCCCCCAAGAACTAATGAATCAGACACACGGGCGGGAAGGGAAGGGGAAGGATGACAAAATCTGAGAACGACATGAAGAAACGAGTCCCAGATGGGAGGTGTGTCTGGGAGAGATCCTTTCTGAAAACAGGATTCTGAATTAAAAATAAAATAAAGTGGAAAGCTTCCAGATAAAGGAAACTACATTTCAGAACAGACAAGGAAATGAAAGAGGAGAGAGAATGAAAGTGTTCTAAATACGCTGAATATCTTCTGATGAACGGGATTTAACTTGGTCTTCAACCTGGTGTTCACTGGGCTGATTTCGAACAGAGTCCCTTTCCTTTTCTCTGTGGCCAGTTCTTTCATCTTCTCGCTTTTTGGGTCTCTGCTTGGAGCATTTCTGTACATGTGCAGAGAGGAAGGGTCATGGAGGGGTGTAGATGAAGATTTAGCACACTGTGAGGACCCCACAAGAGAGAGTCATGGGAGCAGAAGGAAACTGAGGAGAGGACGATGAGGGGTACAGAGAGAGAAAGGAGGAGCAGGATTTAAAAGAGGAAAAGAAGGGGCACCGGGGTGGCTCAGCTGGTTTAGCGTCTGACTCTTGATTTCAGCTCAGGTCGTAATCTCACAGTTTGGGAGTTCAAGCCCTGTATCAGGCTCTGCTCTCTCTCTCTCTCTCTCTCTCAAAATAAATAAATATGCTTTAAAAAAGTGGAAAAGAAAACAGGCAAAGTCGAACACAAATAGCACCATGAGTTGCCTCTAAAAGGAGCAGGGAGTGCTGGTCGTTTGGGTTAAAGGCCAACTACGGGTCGGTACCCTGACATTTTAAGCAGGCTGTTGGAGCTTTTGGGCTAATACTGTTCATTGCTCAGAAGCATGCTGATGCCTGGTGTTCCCCCCTCCAGGGGCGGGGGTGCCAGGAGGGTTTCCCAGGACCTTGTTGAAGGAGGCTGGAGCAACACTGTTAGATGACCTACTCAGACATGCTCAGAATACAGGGCACGTACCTCACAGATCTTTTCCAAGGAGGGGACAAAGAAGTCATCACACACAATGGCCAGTGCGTAAAACATGTACATGGCCTGGAAGAGAGGAAAAAAGGGGTTAAAGTCAGAGTCAAAGCAGAGCCACGGGGTGAGGGTCTGGACACCCTCTACATCAATAACACTCTCTGACATCATGGACTCAACATCTTACTCAAAGTACAAAAACTGTAGTGCTTGGGAGGCCCTCCATGATATCACCGCTCCTCTCTGACCTCATCATCTACCACTCTCTTCCTTGTCCACCAAATGTACTATGGATGACTGCCTCAGGGCCTTTGCACCTGCTGTTCCCTCTGCCCCAAACATACTTCCTTCAGATGACCTTGGCTCATTCCATCATGTCCTTCAAGTCCCTGGTTCAATGTCAACCTAAGCAAGAGGCCTTGGCCCCTCCCTCCCATTTCTCTCTATTCACCTTATCCTGATTTTCATGACATATTATATGTTAAATTAATTTGTTTATTGTCTGTCTCCCTCACTAGAAGTCCACAAGGATATGAACTTTATCTGTCTGATTTGTCCCTAATACAGGGCACAGGGCCTGGCGCATAGCAGGTGCTCAAAAAATATATGTGCAATGAAGGAATAAACACATGAATACTTCTAACTGAGGTCATTCACTCTGCTGTTTCCTACAGGACAGGCTCCACAATCTTGCTTCCTGTCAGCGAAAACCAGGGAACACCCTGGAATTCTAACCTCCTGGGCATAAATCACCCATTTAACCCCAAGTTTCCTCTCTAGTTGATGAAATTTTATTTGGATTCCATCATTGGTTGACCACCTAGCATCCATCCTCCACTCCTTTCTAATGGGACCCCGATTTCATCCCAATATCCACCATAACCCATGGGAAGGTGACCCCACCCTTTCCTCTAGGAGTAGAACTGACTGGCCAATCAGTGTGCAGTATTTCCCACTGATGGCTACTGGTTCAGGAGCGGATATGTGACCTGGGCTGATCCAATGAAATTGTAGGAAAGGTTTTATAGTCCTTGCCAGTGGCATCCATTTTTCACCCTCTGGCGCTGGTTATGGGCTGGGGGTCCTGGTTGCCCCCTTGGCAGCCATATTGAGGGAAATGGGACTTGAAAGGAAGTTGACCCTGAGTCAACTTCATGGCATTACCAAGTTGTTGAGCATGTAGTACTAAAGCATACCTGCCTCCAGATTTTGTAATAGAGCATTTTGGCCAGTTTGATTTGGGAGTTTTCCTATTACTTGCAGCCCAAAGCATCAAATGGGTATAGCTGTTCATCTTTCAAGTTCCAGCATCCTCAGCAGTGACATGCTTTCATGTTTTGATCTCTCAACATCTTTTCCTTTTGAGAATTGCTCCACTGCACAGACCTTCAGTCACACATTCCCCATACCCATCAGCACAGGGCACAGGCACATGACCCAGGCTAGCCACCAGGACACCCCATTCTCTGTCATGCAGTAGTGGGTGAGCAAAAGGTCTGCAAGGGGGCCAATGAGGGACTGACAGAGAAGCTGGAAGAGGAGGGCTCTCTGCTTATGAGATACAAACACTGCCTGAGTCCGGAGGCAGCTGCCATACAGAGGGAGCTTGCTGGAGAATGTAGTTCATACAGTAAGAAGCCCAACCAAGAGATGGGACAGACAGAATGACACACACACACACACAGACACACACACACAGACACACGCACAAAATGGTGTTCAATGACACCCCATGAACTCTGGACCCAGCTCACCCCTGAAATCGAGGTGGACTTTCCAATTTCATGAACTAATAACATGCCTTTTACACTTATGATGACTTGAACGGGATTTCTGTCACTTACAGCTGTCCTTCATGAAGCTTTTTGTAGCAGCCCGAGCATGAAATGATCTCTCTGGCCTCTGACTCTTGGCTGTGGCACCAATTTAGCCATCCCTCCCCCTCTTTATGAACTCATTTTTCCTTTTCACACATAGGTGTTTGGGCTCTCCAACCAGACTGTAAGATTCTAAAAAACATCTTAACACTTGATTCGGTGGAATTATAAGACGAGTGAATGAAAACATATTCATTCCAAAGTGCTGCCTATAATAAATTATCAAAACCCAACACACTATACCACAGGAGATGGGTTATATAAACCATGGTTCATCAATCGATGAAATCCTGCTAAAAGAGATGATTTAAGTCCACAGTTAATGACAAGAAAAGGCATTTACTATACACTGCTAAATGAGAAATATTATAAAATAATGTGTACAATCTTTTTTGTTATTATCTATGTGTTAAGGCATACACACACGCACACGCACACACTTGTGCAAGTATATTTGCATATAAGAGTTTGTAAGACCACACATTAAAGTAGTTTTTCCCTCTGTTGGTATGACTCTGTTTTTATAATTCCTATCTATATTTTCTGATATGTCCACCTTGAATTTGTATTTCTTGTGTGAATTTTGCAGGTGGTGGAGATTTTAGAGCAAGGACTCTGTCTTATAGTTTTCTAATCTCCAAGGAGCCTGGGATGTCTGGCATGCAGAGACACCTTAAAAATAACTTTCATTGATTGGTCTATTCATAATCTGTACAAAATTATTTGTCTGTGGATTTGGGGGGAAGAAAATGTCAATTTTTACAAAGTTAATGCTTTATTTACATCTTGTGGATGAGTCAGAATATACACTCCCAAATTTCAGTGGACTCAAACCCTCTTTTGCTGTATGGCTTGGGTGATCCAATGATGCGCAGGCTTTATCATTATCTTTGAAAGAACAGCCAAATGTAGTAATTGGAATACAGAATTGTACATTTGTGAATTAACCAAGATCTAAATAAACTGTCTCTAGCTGCCATATTCAACTCACTGAAATAGCCAAGTCCATAAACCATCTTTCTAAGACTATGTTCCAATATTACGTATCGATCCTGTCGTGAGGCTAGAAACTTCATCTAACATATTGCAAATCAACACTTGGAATGGGTTGGGAAATGAATAGATCTTCCAGGCTCTCTGTGATTTCAAGGGTGATGGCTACTGAAAGCCACATTAGTTCTCATGCACAACGCAGTGTGAGGCCCCTGCCTCGATCAGGCACCCTGTGTGGCAAGGCACCTCTGGACATCTGGAGGGGTCTGCCAGGCAATGGGGCTCCTTTCCAGCCACAGAGCACCTCCTGGCCTGCCACTTTGCTTACAAGAAATTCTGCTCTAATTCCTGCCATGTTACCCACTGGAAATCAGTTTCCCACTGGAAAAGCAAACAAAATAGAACAAGGTATTGGTGGGGGGAGGTTCTGTGCATGTAGCAGAGTAGGAAGGATAAGGAAATCAGTACCTTCTGCTCATTTTTGCTGTGAACCTAAAAATGCTCTAACAATGGGTCTTCTATTACTACTACTACTAAGTTTCAAAAACTAAACAGAACAAAGGAACAAAACAAATGTATGAAGTCAACTTTTAGATGCAGGAAGCCTACTGATATTGATGGTACTATCAGTACAACTGGCCTGAGTGTTTTAGAGTGAGGCATTTTTGTATTAATTTGGCCATTCCTATATTTCCAAAGGATATAATACTATAATTGGGGATAGTGACTAATAATAATATTATTAATTTTTGCCACTATATGTTGGGCCAGGAACTCCAAGCACGCTCACTCTAGATACTTTACAGGGACTGTCTCACATAATTTCTCTAACTCCTGTGGGAGGCAGGGTGTTACTGGCCCCAGGTCCCAGATGCCTCTGAGAGTACAGTAGCGAATCCAAGGACACACGGCTAGCAAATGGCAGGCCTTGGATGTGACCCCAGGACTCTCTGAGCCTTCCTGCCGAGGCCAGTTCCACACAGAGGGCGTTCCTGAACTGCTGTCCAATCGACACCTTCTATGTTCACTTGGCCTACTAATAAGTTCACTTCTCCAACCACACGAGAGAGAGGGACAGTTTCAGAATCCCAGCCAGCCACCTCTGGGGGTTGCCAGTCAGAGCCACTGATGTTCTTTGTTATTTATTTTTATTTTAGAAGTTCAATTCTGATTATATAAATATACCATTTACATAAATGTATCAATGTGATCAGCATGAACAGGAGTAAACCCTAGTTACCTCTTTATTTTTAGTGGCTTCCCATTTTCCTCTATAAATAAATGGACCATCAACACTGCTACAGTGAACACCTTTACTCATATATCCTTTTGCATTTCTAGGACAGACTTCCAGATGTGGAATTGCTGGGTGACGTTCTTTTCAGTAGTATTATTTTTACAAGGTGCACTAAAAAATACAAGACAGACTTAACCCCTCAAAAATATTCAAGGTGATCCCTGGAATGGTGGATGTGTTGCGGCACACCCAGAAATCTGAGCCTCCGGCCTGGCTACAACAATCAGAACAAGCAAATGTGGGATGCTTTCCGGAAATGATGAGTGAGGGGTGTCTGCAGAGGAGAGGAGAGGAGGGGTCTGTTTCAGTTTCAACTCCAAGCTCACAACCACAGGGCCTTCACCTCCCTTGGAACTTATCAGGGCCCTCCCTGTGGGAATCTGTACGTTGGCACTGATTATGTGCTGCCTGGACCGTGAGCCATGTTTTAAGTCCATGTACCTGGCTGCTCTTCTTTTTCAGGGCAGCAACTATGCTCTTCCCACATTCATATCCACCCAGTCTCAGGGCGGGCTTGCACAGAATGAGGGAACTGGTTTATATGAAATGAATGAGTCCAAGCAGGAGGTACCCAGAGAGTAGCTGGTGTCCCCTTTAGAAAGAGAGGTAGCCTGGAGCCTTGGAGGAAGCCCAGGATGGAGTAAAGGACCTCGCGTCAAATCCCACACTTGACACTTCCAAGTTGTGGTGACCTTGAGTGACTCTCCTGACCTCACATAGCCTTCAACATGAGACCAATCACACCATCCGCTTGAGTTAACTTATGAGAGGGAGTACTGTGGGGGGTACACGGACACAGAGGAGCAAAGGGGCTTGGGCGTGACCAAGCATCTCACATGACAACAATAATGCTGTGAGATTGTGCCCCAGCGGGCCTGCTGGAGGAGGACAAGAGACATGCAGAG